GCCGCCGGAGGAGCAGTCTCAAGTTGAGACTTGGCTGGGGAAGTGAGAAGAAGAAGGATCTGCAGGAAGGCTGCAGGTTTCAAGACGGAGGTGGTGCATATGGAGTGCCGTGGGTCTGAATAGGCCGGAAAACCTAGGCAACATACCCTCAAGAATCCCGAAAGAAATGGAAGAAGATACGCATGGATTAAGTCGGATTAGATTGGACGGAGCCGTCTCAACGGGAACAGAAACTACAAGCTGCTAGCCTACACATAACAGACGGACACGATCAGGGAGAAGAGGACATGAACTTACCACGCAGGCGGGCGATCCCAAGCGCCGGATGGTCGTCAGGCACGTCACGATAATGGTTACGCCAGCGATCGGCCCCGTCCGTGATGGTCAACGCCTCCAGTAGATCGGCAGGATCTGCACCGTACTCGATCCCAGGATACCAGGCACCTGCCTCACCCGGTCGGGGAAAATACAGGAAGAAGGGATCCAACAACAAATCGAGGTCGCAATAACCTCGGAGAAGGCCGATCAGCACCTGCTGAAGGAACGACTTCCACCGGGCGCCAGCTCTGGATCGACGCTGCTTACGATCAGTGTAGAACGCATCCAAATACCGAGTGGCGCGACGCTTGGTGATGCTCACCGGAAAGGCGTGGGTGGAGTCCCAATACGCCCGAAGATGCTCGTCCTCGTAAAAAGCGTAAAGTCGGTTCATGTGCCGGAACCAACCTTGACTCTTGAATGTGAGAGGGTCAAGCAGGGCAGCAAGGATCTCCCACGGAGCAGTCTCGATCAAGTCACGTACGTTGCTCTCATCCACTAGATCATCTCGCCAGTTTCCAAGCGGAGGCACAGGGTCACGGAGAGGAATTAGCCACTCCATCGGCTTGGTGAAGCGATGAAACAGCAGATCTGCATCCATCTCCACGATGCTGGTCTGACGAATATCCTGCGCAGACCAGGGGACGATGTCATGACCTCGGAAGCTTAGACGATCACGATAACCGGGAATCCGCTCCGATCGAGGAACCGTGGTGGGCGGTAGATTCGCCAGCGCAGCGTCCGATAGAGGACCGGATGGCATCCCGAACTCGTTCTTGGCACGATTCAACTCCGAAGAACTGCTATCGCTTCCCGCGGCGTCTGAATCCAAGACGCGAGTTGAACCGGATTCGCCAGAAGAGCTCTCACCATCGTTGGAAGGCGCGCCTGCCTCAGAAGCAGCAAAGGACGACGAAACGCCTCCGTTGCCACTCTTGGCGGTCGATTGGACAGATCGGGGAAGATGGTCGAGGACCAGCGGATGAAAAAGATGATGCCGGCCCCTCAGGCTTTTGGCCGGCAGCCACGGCAGACAATACCTCGATCGAAGATCTAGACGCAGGGCCCTGACTCAAAGCGCCCGCCGGGAGGGAACCTGAAGTCGATCAAGCGGCATTGGAGACGCGGGCAGACTGGGCTGGAGACTTGGACTCAGAGCGTGCTCGTTTGTGGCTCAGCGATGAAGGGAGAAGGGACGCAATGTTGGACAACGTCTCCTGCGCCTGGTCCCGTTCCGCTTGTAGATCGGTGACCTCCATGAAGCGATCGCCAAGCTGGCCGAGCAGCTCGTCTCGCTGAACTGCCAGAGCATCTTACCGCGACTTGAAGGTCCGCTACAACGAAGCAGTGTCCGAGTTCCAAGACCGGAACAGTACGCCAGAGGCACAGCTAGTCGCCGCTTCTTCATTTGGCGTGATCGTTCCGGCCGATACGGCTCGTCGCATAGCGGATCTGGAGTCCCAGCAAGCGCGGTCCCAATCTGATTAACAAGTCGCGCGCGATCGTCAATCTGCCCTCGCTTCGGAGCTTCGCGAATCAGCCACTTCTCACAAGGCTGCTCAAGCCGAGGTAGCTCGTCTCGACGCCGCGATAAAGCGGAAGAATGGTCGCCTCCGTACCTTGAACGACAACTACGAGCGTCCCTTGAGGGTAGCCGACACCACGATCGCAACCCATACAGCTGAGCTTGTTCGCTTACAAGATTGGGTATCGACACTGGATCGGGATCTTCAGAAGGCTTCTCAGCGTGTTCAGACGGTCACCTGTCAACGTGATCAAGCTAGGCAGCACATATCGCCACCCGTGAGTACTGTCTGCACACCTTTTGTCGGCATCGTACTAATTCGTATCTTGTGTCACAGAGGATCGTGTCTCAGCGTCGCGATACCATCGCTCGACTGGAAAAACGGATTAACCAGGTCGAGAGGTCTGCTTTGGCCAAGCAGTGTGTGGTGGCTATCCGTGACCTCATGGCACGGGAATTAGATGCCACACACTACACTAGCAAATCTACAAGTATATCAGGTGTAACAAACACAACAACTTCAATAATTACATCAAATCCGTCGCCTATTAAGATTCGACGCCTGTTTCCTCTCAAGTGCTACCGATTCACAGGTTAACCTGAGCTCTCTCTGCGTGAGCTCAGCCGAATACCGCGAAATGCACGCCCATCTGTACTGCGACAGTGGCTACAGAGTTTCTTTTAGTGGATTCGACTCCCTACTATCATTATTACATTAAAAAATTAGAATTAAATATGGGGGTAAGTGATACGCGTTCACATACCTTCAGCTTGGCGTTGTTCTTGTTTTTAGAGCGGTGCTTCATTGTGTGCTTGTGTGATATGTGGTGGAAGGCGGGAACATTGCACAATGGCGCGCCACTGTTTGTGAGAATGGATGTCGCTCAAACGGGTTTCATTTAAAAAAAACCTTACGATTTGTTTTAAATGACTTGGTTATTACCGCTAAACCGTGTCGCAATGAAGCTAACTTTCACGGTAGTATGTCTATACAATAGTATTATATACAAAGAATGGGAAACACACGGTAAAAAAGTGAAGATATCTTGATTACTTGGCTTTGTGATATTTGAATTCGGAATGCATTTTACTGCATGTATATGATTCTCACGAAAATAATAGTGATGGGCTCCGGTATTTCGACTTTCTGCAGGTTGATGGGGATGGCAGCGCGAAATCATTAGTAGTACAAACCCACCATAACATGCTGTCGACAAATAAGCACCAACGTTATTACTGTTGGCTACGGAGATAGTCACATACTGCGATAGTAAATACCAGCGTGGTTTCGCCAACATATTATTACTCTTTTCTCGCCAGTCCACACTGCTTTTATCCCATCGTCCTCGGATATTACTACTTGTGGCTATTGGATATCAAAGGTCTCCCCAAGTATGTTCAGGGGAGGGTTCACGACTTCACCGAAGCAGGATACCTACCTTTGAGGGTTATCGACCCGAAAAATGACACTACCAGCCCAATTCTTCTAGTTTGGGCAATACAGAGAAGATATCGGCAACTTATGGAACGTATGCTGCTGCATGGATATTGAAGCAATTCGGCAACTTAGGGAACGTATGTTGCTGCATGGGTTTTGAAACAATTTGTAAGCCAAATTTTAGAGTAACTATATAAATTACCCTGCTACTAAAAGAGTAGGTTGCCTCCGTTGCGTACAAAATAAAAAAATCACAAACGATATTCATTGTGAAATTTAGTTGAGCACTGTGCCTACTATCTGTGGCCGTCGAAAAAATTACGACTAAAGAATTACCATAACAGTCGTGTTGGGAAAGGCTATAGAGAGTGCCTTATACCTAACGTACTTAAGTATCACTGGACCAAGAGCCTCCAATTCTTCAGCGAACCTATTCAAATCATGACCGAGGACAACTCTCGAGGTATGGTTAAGAAAAACACGCGAAGTCCAATCGCCTTCACTTTTATATGATGAACACGCAACCAGGTCAACATGAAAGTAGTCGTTGTCTTTAAATTAAACGTTGATTAAGAAATCCAATAATATTTTTATCAGCTGGTTAGTATGGCCGAGCGTATGCATATATTATGTGGAAAGATTAACGCTGTCTATGGCAATGGTGACAAGACTATAACTCCCGAAAGCAGTATACAGGGCACTTTACCAATTTCCGGATGATATGTCAGATCTCAATTTCTTAAACATGACTTCTTTAAATTTGACCTGGTAGATATTGTACTTCAAATTGACTCTTTCAAATGCTCCTCTCTTGGTTTTGCTTACTATTTTTGAGGTGGCACATCACTATCGTATTCTTATTAGTGCGTGAATTCTACTTGACTGTCTAGTCACTCTATGTAGCCTCGGGAAGGCAAAAATATAGAATCTTTTGAAATATTTGCTGTACATAACACTTGAAATACAGCAAAAAGTGATGCGCGATTTCTGGCGTAGCTTTAGAAAACATAAATATTAATATGAATGTCATATCATGGAAAAATCAAATCCATTTTATATTCCAGCTGGCATAGCTGTGCAGCTGTAATGCAACCTTAACCGTTTGTAATGCGGGGCAGCTTCAGCACATAGAGTAGAAGGACTTGTCGAAGTGTTCGTGAAAGAAAGAGTGAATATTAATGAGGAGTTAAATGAAAACTAAGCTCGAAAACGCTATACTGCTGCCTAAACATAGTACAGGTTGGCCATTGCCAACCGTTTTAGAAAGGCAAGTTGCTCTTATTATAATGCATATGCTTTATATGAGTCGTTAGTTAGAGACGAGTCTAACTTCAACAGCCTCCTTAGCTCGTCGCTTTCCGGACGCCATCAGGGATGATTGCAGTGGAACCGTTACATCGAAGTTGCCTTTTTCGTATCGCAAAAAAATTTTCACCACTGTGTATCTAGGCAAGTCTTTGCATGCCAGATGGCCACCAGCACTTGTCGTGCGTTCTGCAGACCTCGTGCCGACGCCTTCATGCATGCGCTCATTTCCACTTTTGATATCCAAGGCAGAGGTAGTTAATTTTAAATAAACTGGTCCGTTGCCTTTGCTTGCTTGTGTCCGTATTTTGGTTGTATTGGGGTTACTTTAGTCCTGAACCGCCATGGCTCGTACCGTGCAGGTGGACAAGATGCCAGGTGGCGGCAAGAGCTCAACCCACAACAGGTGAAGGTCAGTGCCAGGACTGCAACGAAGCAACAGGTTCAGGTCAGGCCCAGGACACCGCCCAAGGTGCAGCGGATGCAGGTCAGCTCTACGATGCCGCCGGAGGAGCAGTCTCAAGTTGAGACTTGGCCTGGGGCATACTTCTCGGATCGCAAGGATACGGCGAACGGTACCAAGCACCAAGACGTCTGGAGGAAGCCTGATGCGTTACAAGGGGACGGGGAGCTGGGACCCCACATGGGAGCCGAAGTAGACGCTTAAGGTGGACGGCCTTGGCTATGCTATGCTCATGGTGGATGTGGGGGTGCTGGTTGGGCGTCCGGACGACTTTTTGCAGTGGCCGAGAAGGACAGTTCCGAAGCTTATTGACGCCAACGCGAGCGGGACCTGCTTGTTCAACGCGCTGCAGTAAGCTGTGCAGTTACTGGGTGAGCCATCAGCAGTGCCGGACACCGAAGTGGAGCGATTACTCGCTGATACTGACGAGCGTGGAGCTGATTTGTCTCACGGCGTCAGCTGGAAGGTGTTCAAGGAGTTTCTGGTCCAGTTGAAGCGTGCTGGTTCGCGCATTTTGCTCAAGGACCTTTAGTACAACCGGCAGCGTACTGAACACCGTGCTATTGTTGGCATCAAGCGTCTGAAGCTCGAAGACGGATTCTACATTGTGGCTGCCAGCAACACCATGGGCGTCGGGCACGCGTTCGTCCTGGAGATGCAGGGTCACAAGTACACCGCTCATGATGAGTCGGTCAAGTGCAGCTTGGAGCAACATGGCGTGTGGATCAATAGCCTTATGTTTGTGCGTAAGGTAGCTCTGGAGGCTTCAGCAGATAATACATTTGCTTCTTATGACTTTGTCATTAATTTTTATATTATTATTGTTAGCTTATTCGGTGGCTGTGTACCAGGGAAGCCTAAGTGAGGGTAAAACCTATAGAATGCAGTGGGTAAACCTATTGTAGGGGAAACCCCACACTATCCTGTGACTCATTGATATTGTGAAATGAATATGTATTCGACCGTGTTTATTGATCTATCTATTTGCTAATTCACTAAATAATTGCATTCTTAGTTGTCGTCTTAAATGCCGGAACTGATGCTTGTTAAGTGACTTGGTAAAGATGTATGTTACCATTGACTTAGTGTCGCAGTAAGCGACGCTAAATTCGTGTCGTTCTACCTTTTCCTGAACAAAATGGTAACGCATGTCAATATGCTTTGATCGTCCATGAAGTTCCGGGTTACTAGCGATTTTAATGCAGCTTTGATTGTCCTCTTTGATAACATTGGCTTTGGTTGTAAAGAAACCTAGCTCTTTGAGTAGCAGTTTGAGGAAGATAACCTCTTGCATACAATGGCATAAGGCAATGTATTCAGCCTCTGTAGTCGAGAGCACGACAGTATGGTGCTTCCTCGAAAGGCATGAGATGGGCCTTGTCCCGGTCATTGTGACGTATCCGCCAACTGATCTTCTAGTGTCAGGAGAATTAGCATAGTCATACTCTGTGTAGGCTGTCAAATGGTCAGCTAGGCTACTAGCATCAACTGGCGTTAATCCACCAAGTAGCAGACCTTGGTCAGCCGTAACAGATAGATATTTTAGGCCTCTTACCACTGCTTTCCAGTGTTGCTTTCCAGGGTTTACTAGGAATTGGCTGACTTCGCGTATGTAGCATGCTAGATCGGGGCGAGTGCCAACCATGAGGTACATTAGACTTCCTACGACTTATCTGTATGGAATGTCTTTCATTGCCTTCCTCTCTTCTTGGGTCTGAGGCTCCGTAGCTTTCGTGAGCTTGATGCAGCGATCTGAGGGCGTCGCAGTAGGGTACGAAATGAAATGTATTATCGAGGACATTTGTGACGTATTTTTCTTGGTGGATCAATATCGTTCGGACTTCATGGTTCTGTTCAATGGACCAGCCGAGAATGTACTTCACCTCCCCTAAATCTGGCATTGAAAGTCTCTGTTTCAGGGCCATTTTAATACGGCATACGAGGCTTACGGTGGGTACTATGATAAGCGGATCGTCCACATAGACAGCAATCAAAAGTTGCCTTAAAGACACAACTATCTTTGATCAGCTTGTGAAAGCCGAGGCTCTCAAGGAAGGCACGCAATGTCTGATACCAAATGCGGGGCGCTTGATTAAGGCCGTAGAGGCTCTGAAGAGTTTACAGTCAAGATGCTCGTGCCAGCGTCAGCAAAGCCTTCGGGCTGGGCCATGTATATTTCCTCGGAGAGAAAGCCATTTAGGAAAGCTGCTTTTACGTCCATCTGATGGACCTCGTAGTCTAGCAATGAAACTATGATCAATAGGAGTCGAAGG